AGGTAATTGAATTGGTTGGGCGAAAGAAAAAAAAAAAAAAAAAAAAAAAAACTTTACTTTCTTTCGCCCCCTGTGTGCTTGTGAGTCTCGATGTCATAAAAAAAAGCACGCTGCTCCTACCACCTCGTACGCATAGCAATCGCTAGGTTCATGCATGTACTAAGATGAGGGCTTCAGGAGTGCCGGTATAAATTGGATAATTGGTGGAAAGCGCCAACACTTGGTGAAAAACGCCCAGGGGCAACAAAGGTCGTCGGATGCAAAAACTGGCGGCCAAGAATTGGGTCCCCACGGCTGGCCCCCTTCCTACGGGATAGTGAACATGGCTCTGTAGATTCATTTTCCCTGCCAGATTCATTTTCCAGTGGGACGAACCTGGCTCTGCACGAGTGCTACATTCATTTCCCGTGCCAGGTAGGCTCTTTTCGCCCGAGGAGAAAGGTTTGGATGCCCTTTACCAAAACGGTCTCCACATGGGTAGAGGCTTTCCACCAATTATCCCACCAATGATCCTAGTTCTTGGCTGTAGCTACCATAGATCCCAGTCGTGAAGCTGAGATCCTCAACTAACTTTTTTTTCTTTTTTCTTTTTTTTTCTTTTTTTTTTTAATTTGGCTAGCTTTGGGTTTGTGCGAGCAGGCAGGGGTTATATATATATTATATATATATATATATATATATAGTCGGTGAAACTCCGACGAAAGAGTTTGTCACAACCCCTCGTTTGTTGTCCTCTTCTCCCTCTCTGCCTACAGTTTACCGGGCAGTTCTCCCTCTCCGCCTGCTATAGTCTATACACATTCTCAGCTCTTCTTCCTTCTTGGGGACAAACAAAACGTGTGCTCCAAAAGGAGACGAATTGGGCCTGATCCAACCTTTCCCAAGGAGCTCGTCTAACTGTTTGCGAAGCTCCTCTAACTCTCTAGGGGACATCCTGTAGACTGCACCCTTAGGAGTTCTACTGCCAGGCTCTATCTCTATCCTGTGCTGGATGGGTCGCGACACTACTCCTCTCAGTGACTCCGTCAAGTCTTTGAATTCTTCCAACAGCTTGGCAATTGTTGGATCTGTAGAACTATCCTTTTCCAGGGCCTCAGTGACGGGTCTAACATAAACTACAAAGATATGTTCCTCTAACTGCTCCTTTTTTACTAATCGCGCGAACGCGGGAGCACTGAGACAGCAATGTGCCAAGGTATTGTCTACACCAGAGACATGGAACAAGCGGGCAGTCTTAGCCTCGCGTGACAGACTAGGGAGCCTACACTCATGCTCTCTCAACTGGAGTGTGGCCCCTGCTGCCTCTCCCSAATCCATTCCTAACACTACATCGAAAGGAAGGTCATCTTGCACGAGGAGAGTCAGGGAATGGAGAACTTTCTCCACCTTCCCATCCTTCTCTAGGCGAAAGTACGCCTGGACTCCCTCTACGTAG